CCCCGATTTCCCCATGTCCATTCAACCAGCTCCTAACCCTCTCTGCCTTCTCATCTCACCTCTGGACAGAAGGTGCCCATTTAGTCTCATGTTTTTACTTGAGCTCAGAAGCATACTCTTCACGAGTATCATTTTATGTCCCACAGTCCAGTCCAGTCTTTGGCAGAACATTTTCTTAATAAACTTTGTTATGCCAGTTGACCTAGATGTCCCCGGAAACCATGGTCCCCAGACCCCTGCCCCCGCTACTCTGTCCCTCGAAGCGTTTGGTCGTATTCAGGATACTTCTTAGCTTTGGTTTAGTCCAGTGCACATCTAGTTCTTCTGGTCTCGAAGTGGAGGAGGTAGTGGTTCACGTAGACAATTACCGTATTTTATGCAAATAACATGCACCTTTTGTTTTGTTTGCTGGCTGTGCCCCACCCCAGTCACCCTCACAAGTGCCACCGCGCCAATTGTCTTCCACATACTGCAGATAAAAAATTAGCATAGCACGCTTACGAAAAGAAGGCTCGGCCAGCAAACAAACACAGAGGGTGTGCATTGTATGCCTAAAAATACGGTAGTCCTGTAGTCCAGTTCTTTCTCTGATTCTTGGGTTTCCTTTCTCTTTTGGTCCAGATGAATGAAAACCAATAGTTGTAACTTAGATGGCAACACAGAAGATTTTAGACCCCAGACACTACTCACCATACTGGGAGGTAGAACATAAACTTTAAGAACTATATTATGCCGATTGACTGGATTGTCCTGCGAGACCATGGCCCTAAACCCCCAAATCAAGAGAAGTAATCCCATGAGGTTATTGGTTATGTCTAATTAATAGCACACCTGTAGCCTTCCCCCTCCCCTCTTTTTTTTTTGTGGTTGTTATCATTGCAAAACCATACACAACCTAGCATTTGCCCATTCATCCCTTTTCCCTATGTACAGCTTATTGACATCAGTTACACAAGTGACGCTGTGCAAACTTCACCCATATTTTCACCCATTTTTCCCATTTCTAGAAACAAAAAGTGATTACTACCTAGGGAGTACTTCTTTTCCCCTCCTCTCCAGTAACCACTAATGAACATTTCTTTCTGTGTATTTACCTGCTCATGTCATTTCATAAGTGAGAACATACAATATTTGTTTTTTTGTGATTGAGTTATTTCACTCAACATAACGTCCTCCAGGTTCATCCATTGTAAGATGTTTCAGGAACTCATTTTTCTTTATTGCTGAGTAGTATTCCATTGTATGTATGTGCCACATTTTACTTATCCATTCTTCAGTTGATGGGCACTAAGGTTCTTTCCATCTTTTTGCTATTGTGAATAATGCTGCAGTGAACATAGGCGTGCATATGTTCAAGTCACTCCTGTTAGATATATCTAGGTATTATGGATTGAATTGTGTCCCCCAAAAATGTTTGTCAACTTGACTAGGCCATGATTCCCAGTATTGTGTGGTTGTCCACCATTTTGTGATCTGATGTGATTATCCTATGTGTTGTAAATCCTAGTCTCTATGATATTAATGAGGCAGGGTTAGAAGCAGTTATGTTAATGAGGAAGAACTCAATCTATAGGATTAGGTTGTATTTTGAAACAATCTCTTTTGAGATATAAAAGAGAGAATCGAGCAGAGGGGAGAGGGCCATATACCACCAAGCAAGAAGAGCCAGGAGTGGAGTGCATCCTTTGGACCCAGGGTCCCTGCATTGAGAAGCTCCTAGAACAGGGGAAGAGTGAAGACAAGGACCTTCCCCAGAGCCAATAGAGAGAGAAAGCATTCCCCTGGAGCTGGCACCTTGAATTCGAACTGCTAACCTCCTAGACTGTGAGAGAATAAATTTCTGCTTGTTAAAGTCATCCATTTGCAGTATTTCTGTTATAACAGCGCTAGATATCTAAGACACTAGGAGTGGAATTGCTGGGTCATACGGCAGCTATACCTCTAGCTTTTTGAGGAACCTACAGACTGTTTTCCAAAATGGCTATACCATTCCCACCAGCAATGGATGAGGGTTCCAATTTCTCCACATCTCCTCCAACATGTTATTTTCAGCTTTTTTTAATCTTAGTCATCCTAGTGAGAGTGAAGTGGTATCTCATTGTGGTTTTGATTTGCATTTCTCTGATGGCTAATGAGGTTGAGCATCTTTTCACGTGCCTGTTGGCCACTTGAATATCCTTTGGGAAGTGTCTGTTCATGTCCTTTGCCCAGTTTTTGACTGAGTTGTATTTTTGTTAAGTTATAGTTTTCTGTATATTTTACATATTAGACCTTTATCAGTTATATAGTTCCCAAAGATTTTTTTCCCAGTCTGTAGGTCATCTCTTTATGTATAGTCT